AAAGCAAAACTACTTGGGCACAAGAATGAAAAACAAGATCTAGTCCATTCTAATTGCAACCATTTCTGCCCAGGATACTACCACTTGCAAGTTTGCACTGTGCTTCATGATGCCCTGGTGGCTTAGGGACCCTGACAACCTCTAATTAGATTTGGGAGTAATTCTATCTTCCCCATCAGATCATAACCTTCTGAAATTTAGAAAGTATGCTTTATTCATCCTGGTATCTCCTAAAACAGGAAGCTGAGTTTAGAGCTTAGAGTAGTTTTCACATAAAATACAGTCTTCCAAGCCTCTCAGAGTTTTTCTTCACCAAAATGGGGGAGGGAACTTAGTCAAGTAATAGACAGATGCACTGAACATCTCAAGATCAAGAATCATACTTCATATATTCTATGATTTCTTTGGTGCTCTACATATAGTAGACACCTGAAATATTTAGTCATTCAAATTTTGTGGGCAGTCATTATAATTTAATAAAATTATTAAGCTTACTAAAATTAAACCATATTTTTTTAGAAAATCACTGAATATACACCCTAAACAAGAAAATAAATTCCAACCCCACATCACCCAAGTCTTCAGAAAAACTACACTGGGGTCAGCCTTTCTTACCACAGCTAGACAAGACAGCCAACAACAAAGTCCCAAAGATCACAAGCAGCTATCCTCTCCCATAACTAAATCAATGAGTTGGCAAGGGTAAAGGTTCCTGGATTACAGACAAACTACCTGAGAATCCGTATGCACAGACAGAAGAAGCATCAGTGACTGAGGGCACATAGCAGAACGAATGTTCATACACAGGATTTTTACTCATAAAATAGTTTACTATGAAAGAATGTAAGTACAAAACCAAAAACAGGTCATAAAAGGGGTGATCTTTTGATAAAAGTTAGTAGAAATGAAAACTCTAGGAAAACAAATTGTACTGGAGATAAATAAAATAGAATCACACAGAAGGAATATAAATTACTAATGAAAAAAAGAATATATTCCTAATAATTAAAAGAGCACAAACTGTTAGGAAGGATGGTGTTGGGACTCAAACTAATACAAGTCTAAATTCACTGAGCTACCTTGAAGAGCAATTTGGCAACTCTTATAAAGGCTGAAGGTGTGAAGGATACAATAATTCTACTTCCAGATGCGAACACTAGAAAACTCTCACTTGGACATAAAGACACATATACAAGATTGCTCTTAGCAGTTCTATTTGTGATAGATACTGGAAAAAACAGTCTGCCAGGAGGAAATAAATACTATTTCATGATTTTATAACACAATTCAACATTTTAAATTGATGAATTCAATCAACATGAATCATCATAGACAAATCTTTAAAACATGCCAGGGGAATAAAGCAAGCTGGAAAAGTATAAAACAGTAAAATACTGTAATAGGTACATTTTCACATAATCTAAAACCAAACTATCTATTTTACATAGTAAAAGCATTCATAGAAATTACATACATCAACTTCAAGACCGCATACAAGGAAGAAGGGGGAGACATAAATGTAAGGCTTTATGCATACCTTTCTTTAAAAAATAAAGGAAAAAAATGTTCAAAACTTAAAAAAGACAAAATGCTATTGTTTCCATTTGCCATTATCTCCACAGTGAATATAAAACTACCTTGTATATTATTTTCTGTACTTCTGTTTGAAATGCTTCAGAACTTTAATATTTACATTAAAAAAAAAAACAGTTGAGCTAGCCAAGTTGTCTTCCACGTATAAAATATTTACAGCACCCATGACTCCTTAAAAAAAGAATTACTCCACAATGAAAACCAGGTAATCAAAATGAATCAAATAAAAAGCAAAGAAAGACAAAAGCACTGGGAAAAGATATGGTGGTTAGCACTGAATCCTCTTAAATACAGAACTAATTCTAAATATAGAGCTCAAGTCTAAGCTGATGGCAGACAGACAGAAATCGGGGTGCCTGGCTGGCTCAGTTGGTTAAGTGTCCGACTCTTGACCTCAGCTGAAGTCAGTGGGAAGGAGCCTCACATTAGGCTCTGCACTGACAGTGCTGCTTGGGATTCTCTCTCTCCTTTCTCTCTGGTCCTCACCTGCTTTCTTTCAGTCTCAAGAAAAACAAATAAACTTAAAAAAAAAAAACAAAAAAAAAACCTGGGGTGCCTCAGTGGCTCAGTTAGTTAAGTATCCAACTCTTGATTTCAGCTCAGGTCATGATCTCACGGGCTCTGCACTGACAGCCTGCTTGGGATTCTCTCTCCTCTCTCTCTCTGCCCCTCCCCTGCTTACATGTGTTCCCTCTCTCTCATTCTCAAAATAAATCAAACATTTAAAAAAAAACTTTAAGGGAAAAAAAAAATCAGGAAGCAAACATTACATAACCAGAAGTAAAAATATATGCAACATAGAAATCAGGAACTGAGGGAAAAAAAGAGATGAGAGATGAGAGAAAGTATCATTCAGCTCATCTATCAGAGTGGGGATTTAATCTCTAACACCTAAAATTAAAACATATTTTTTTAATTACCCCAATTCCCTACTAGTTTTGTATTTTTTCTTAATTTTAGTAAAATCTTACATAACCTAATGGCTCTGTGTTAAACCGTTCTATAGAATTCAGTTCATTTAGATTTTTTCCCCTGATGTTGAATTCAAACAAAATCATATTTCATGTTTTCATTTTTTAAAATAGCATAAATGGCATTATCTTATTTTTACAACATTATTCCTTTCTATAAGCACAAATGAAATTATGCTCACCAAATGCTAACATAAGTTATTTCTGGTTGCTAAAGTATGGATGCCTAGATTGCTTCTTTCTTTGTACTTTTACTGACTGTATTATTAAAAATAAGTATCACTTTTTAGAAAAATTAAAAAGGTCATTACAAAAACACACTTCAGTCTAGTAATTCTTACTTTAAGACTACACCCAAACTAATCACAAACTTAAAACAAGATTTTTTTATAAAGCTGTTCATCACAGTTTTATAGTAATGGAAAACTGGAAATAATCTATTCATCCAAAATAATATAGCAGCATCAAAAGAATGGAACACTATCCAGCCATTTAAGATGGGGTTTCTAACAGGATACTTAATGACATAAGGAAATGAACATGATATAGTATTAAAAAAAGTAACAAAACTGCCTTCATAAATTATATATTATTATATTTTTAAATAAGAAAAAATGTTTCAAACTGACAGGTAACAAAATGGGCAGCCTGAGTGCTTGCAAGTTGTACTTTGTTTTTTACTTTTCTGTTCTCTCCAAGTTCCCCAGAACTGAGATGAAAGTAAGAAACATTCTTTTTTTGTTCTTAATGTAAGACACGATATGATATATTAAAGAGACTTCTGCCTATGCTTAAAGGAATAAGTTTCTGTAAATTAGAAAACAAACATTGGGGCGCCTGGGTGCCTGTCAGTTAAGTGTCCGACTTCGGCTCAGGTCATGATCTCACAGTTCGTGGGTTCAAGCCCCGCATCAGGCTCTGTGCTGACAGCTAGCTCAGAGCCTGAAACCTGCTTCAGATTCTGTTATCTCCTTCTCTCTCTGACCCTCCCCTGCTCTCACTGTCTGTCTGTCTGTCTGTCTCTCTCTCTCTCAGAAATAAACAAAAACATTAAAAAATTTTTAAAAAATAAATGTACTTTATAAAAAAGAAAACGTAAAATTTCTCAATTACCAAAAAGAAAAAAAAAAATCACCACAGACTCTACATCCAACCAGCAACCTTTTATAACCGTTATCTTTACAAGAAAAGTCAGGTTACATAAATCTGATATGATAATCTTTGTTATTTTCCATCAATTACTTAACAGTACTAATACATAAAGTAACACCAATCTGTACCCATTTTAGTGTGATGATTTTCTAATAAAACACATTTAAAGGTCAAAATGACTCATAAGGGCTTTTTCTTGGTCTCTTCTCCATCTATAACAGAGTTTGCTTTATGGGGGTACTTTGTTAATCACATTATATTATTCATTTACATCATCTACAGAGGCAGTTCTGGTTGCACAGTAATACTATCTACTCCTCAGTACTCCAAATTGTAAGGATGCACACTAACATTGTCGGCAAAATGCCACCAATGTTCTGTTTTATTCAACAACTCAGCTGATAAATGATCCTGCAAACAATTCCATGAGAAAATGCTCATCAAGCACCCAGCAGAGCAGCAGTAAGCTACTATGACAGTAACTGTTGTGTTGGTCAGTTTGCTGCCACTAAAGCCCTATGTTTAAGTGTAAACAGTACTTCCTCAATTCGAACTAAACTCTAGAAATCAGATATTTCACATTATCTAGATTCTGTATGGTAGGAAAGTATATACATGATGAGGACATTCAAAGGACATAGGGGGAGATGAAAGACGTACCCACTGGTCAAATCTGGGATGAGCAGATCCTCACAATAAATGATAACAGTATCAGATTGTAACCAGTAGAATAAAATAAGAATCCATTAACTCATACTGATATAAATGAATAAATAAACTAGAGGCAAGGGGAAATGTTTCCTTGTACAACTCTAAATAAATGTAGAAGAAATGAAAGAATTAGAAAATTTCCATAACAACCAGTTTTAACTATTTCAGGCAATAATAATCAATGAATTCTAAAGCCAACAGGTGAAAGTATCATTAAAAAAATAGACATTTGTGGAGTATACTACAAAATAACATATGTGAATCATTCCAAAACATTCTCATGAAGGACTAAAAAAATCAGGAACTATTCCAGATTAAAAGAGACTAACAGAAGCACAATATTTAATAAAGGGCTAAATCCTGATATTATAAAAATAAATTTTCTTTTGCTATAAAAGGTCTTAGGGAAATTAGTGATCTTTGTTTACAGATTATATTATTATATCAATGTTACTGATTTTGATAATTTGCACTGTAGTTTATAAGAAAATGTCTTTGTTTTTAGCAAATACACAGTGAGATATTTAGATGTAAAGGTATTGCATGTCTGCTATTTACTTTCAAATGTTTCAGGAAAAAACTCAGTGTATCACAAAGCAAATATAATAAAAGGTCAACATTTGAAGAAACTGGATAAACGGTATACAGGATTCTTTGCAACATTTTTTCCACACTTTTCTGTAAGTCTAAAATTATTTTAAAATAAAAGTTAATAACAAAATGCTATACAACAAGAAAATAGAACAATATGTTGTACAAAAACCAACAGATTAAGTTCAACTCTACAATCCAGCTTCTAACAATTTCCTTTTTTTTTTTTAATGTTTTATTTATTTCTGAGAGAGAGAGAGAGCATGAGCAGAGGAGGGTCAGAGAGAGAGGGAGACACAGAAGCCAAAGCAGGCTTCAGGCTCTGAGCTAGCTGTCAGCACAGAGCCCGACATGGAGCTCGAAGCCACAGACTGTGAGATCATGACCTGAGCCGAAGTCGGCCGCTTAACCAACTGAGCCACCCAGGCGCCCCTTGGCTTCTAACAATTTCCAATCCAGCCTCAGAAATCCTGTAAGATCATGAACAACCTCCATACCTTCAGTCACTTTACAAAATGGTTTCTCCACATTTAATCATAATCCAACTTCCCTGGATGGCATTACAACCCTCAAAGGCCTCTCAAACAAATATGTCAATCCTCCCACAGCTTCCTCTTAACTGGGAACAAGAAGAAAAGAACATTTTTTTGTATATTGCCAGATCTAGATCAAGAGGCTCTCTTACATTTTTTTTTTTTTTTACATTTATTTTTGAGAGACAGAGCACAAGGGGAGGAGGGGCAGAGAGACAGAAGGAGACACAAATCTGAAGCAGGCTCCAGGCTCCAAGGTGTCAGCACAGAGCCCGATGTAGAGCTCAAACCCACAAACCTCGGGATCATAACTAAGCCGAAGTCAGACGCCCAACCAACCAGGCCACCAGGCCCCCTGAGGGGCTCTCTTAAAGTTCACACTGTCTATACAGCTTGTTAGACCCACTTACATCTTATTATTACTATTCACAAGGTCAAAAATCATTCCCCAGTAAGTAAGACTTACAAGCCAGCTCTCTACCCCCCAGTATCTCCTCTGCCTTAAATCCCACTATATTGCAGGATCACTAAACCAACTTAACACCTCAGCTATAAACCAGGAAATAATGATATTGAGAGTTGAGTAGTCCGGAGACTACCTTGTTCACTACTTTTCCTGACCTGATAGTCATCTACTCCTGCTTCTACTAAAAAAATGTAGATTTCTACATCTAGTACTTGGTTCACAATCTTCTGGCCTTTACCTTTCTCCCTTCCTTACTTCCACTAAGTCTATTCTTTGGGCCCTCCATTCACTGCCACCTGGTTTTACTTTCTATCATATGCAGCCAGGATTATAAAGTGAAAAACTTACATGGCACTCACACTCAATTTTCTAGTTCCTATATTCTCTGCTTCATGTGCCCCCACTGAGATCCAATCTGGAATAAGTCTATCTGCTATTCTCCAGGTAGAAAGAGGAAAACAAATCACACAATTGTGCCACTGCAAATTCAGGTTCTCATCCCAGCAGAGCTGTCAGAACAGTCCTCACCACAACAGGTGTTTCAGCTGTCAACCTCCTATCCCCCACTTCCGACCTTGGAGCTCTCAGTCAAAATCTTTGCTTCCTACTTCACAGAGGAAAACAGATTTTCAAGCAAAAATTTCTTCAACTTCTCTCCCCTGCATCTCTAAATTTAGCATTATGGCATCCATCCTAACATAGTCTTTGCTCCTAAATGCCAGACAACTGTACAGAGAAGATCCTGCCTCCCAAAGGATCATTTTCACTTTAAATTATGCCTCTCCTTCCTTTCTCCACTAATTTCTTTCTCTCTACCCACATGTATATTCTATTCATGCCATAGTCAAAAGAGAAAAACTGCCATCAGCTAAAAATAAATTTTTTCCCTTGTGCTTTTTGAACTATTTCCATCTTTCCTTTCTTTCCTTCAGTGACAAACACCCTAAAGAGAGACACAGAGAGAGAGATCTATTCTTATTCTGTGCACTTCTAATTCTCATTTCCTCTCAATACATTACTAACTGGCTTTCACTCAAAGAGCTCTTGCTAAGAACATCTACCTCCTAATTGTTAAATCCAAAAGCGTTTTTTTTTTTCAGTACTCATTATAAGAAAATCTTTAATACTTTCAACACGATTGAGTGTATTTCTAATTGGTTCTTCTTTAGCCTTCACAGAACTATTTCGTTCTGGTTTTCCTCCTACCTCTGACTATTCATTGTGTTTCTTTTGTAGGGTTCCTTATTTCACTCTGCCAACTTTAAAGAGTCTTAGCTAAAACTGAATCAAGAGCTGTGGATACAGACTGGACTGAAGCTGGATAGTGTGTAAGTGGTATGATTTAGTTTTATTTGCCAAGGGCATAAGCAACTAACCCCATTGTAACAATGCTGAAGTTGCTATTACAAGCATTCATTTGTCATTTAAAAATTAGCATCAGCATAGTGTACTGTCTTCTGATTTTACACTCTCTTAGATGGCTGGGTAGCTGCTAAATGAATAAACTAGAAAAGAAGATAACCTGATGTCAGAAGATCTAAATCTCCTACCCCACTAAATGCATAATCTTGACTGGGTCTTTGAGCCTCATCTTCTTTCTGTGAATCATTCTTTTTCATTCAGTAGTCAGTTATCCAACAGCTGCTCAACCAACATCTACTAAGTTCCTAATATGTTCTAGGTACAAGACTGGGTGCAAGGAGTGGGTATAAACCCCAACCCATCAATCCCTAGAACTTCTAGCTTCCAGCAACTAGGAGCTCCAGCCAAGGCCTTGACACAGTATAACTAGGGCTGAAACAGACAGAATAAAGGAAAATGAAAATCTGTTATCTTCTATCACAGGTAAACCAGAGAGTCAAGACCAGCAATGAAGGACCCAGGCCTGAAACATCAATTTTCTCTCAGCAAACCCAGAGAAACTATGAACAGAATCCTCAAGCAACACTAAATACAGCAATATCAATTATGAGACAAGCTGTTAATGATTCATCCAGGAAGCAGAGCAAATGCCAAGATGCCACTGCAGGCAAAAGTCGAAGGGCGCATCCATCAGAGTGTCATATGCCAAAGCAAACCCTCAAAAGTTGGCTGATAAATCTAAATACATAATCTCAATAACTTCATAATATCAGAAGCCAAACACACACACATTCTCTCTCTGTTCCTTTCAAAAAAGCATATGCTTCTATACTGACTCACGCTATGTATTTCTTTATTCCTATATAAATAATATTTATTCTCATATTATAGTGATCACTATATTGCCACATTTCTAAAGGCCTGGTCAATACAGAAACACCATTATACCTAGGTTTTCCACACACCTGACATGACTACTATTTTCTAATAAAAATTTACACATGTGAATTCCATTACTGTATTGATTTGCTCTAGGAGCAAAGATGCACAAGACAAAAACATGTTGTAACTTGTGCCTCTTAAGAAACCAGAGCAAAATTACTTTCCAGAGAGAAGCTGAGTAGGTGGTTCTCTATGTTACTCAAATTCCAACTGTCAGCAAATCTCAGCACACATAATAAAACAAATTTGCCAAATAGTTTTTTTTTGGGGGGGGGAACATGGTAATCTAAATGCTTTACTCTCTGCAAAACTGAATTTTGCTTTCAAGAGAAATCTTTAGTTAGCCTAAGTACAACAGTGAAAGACTTGAAAGTACATATATCATTATACAGTAATTTTGTTTTTAACTAGGTCAATGAATAGCACTATGTAAGCATATATAATGTATAGACAAATGAAATAAAATACTAGCCCGAACAGTTCTGAGTCCATCCTCAACCACCTGCATTGGGCAAAGAACATGAAGCATACTGGGTTTAAACACATGGGTGTTGGAATCAACTTTTCTATATTCAAATCTAGGCTCCAGCACTTACTAACTCTTGTGATCTACCTGGGCTTCAGTTTTATCATCTTAAACAACAAATGGTTACTCACAGGGTTTTTGTAAGTATTATAAAAATTAACACCTGTAAACACTTAGAATAATGCCTGATACAGTAAAAACCCAGTAAGTGTTAGTTTAAAGCACAAGACAAAGGCATTTGACATGAATCATCCACTTTTGTCTCTACCATAACCCTCTGAGTATGGTTGAGTAAAATGAGTATGGTGGGACAAAATTTAATTGTACTGACTTACTCAGTTTGAAGCAAAGTCAAGATTCAAATACAGGTTGTACTGTCTCTAAATTCAGACACTTTCTATTTCAAAATGCCTCCAGTAAAAATTCAGGGGTAGTATGGGGCACATGGGTGGCTCAGTCAGTTAAGCTTCTGACTTCAGCTCAGGTCATGATCTCGTGGTTCGTGGGTTCAAACCCCCCGTCGGGCTCTGTGCTGACAGCTTGGAGCCTGGAGGCTGCTTCGGATTCTGTGTCTCCCTCTCTCTTGGCCCCTCCCCCTCTCATGCTCTGTCTGTCTCTCAAAAATAAACATTAAAAAAAAATTTTTTTTAACATCAGGAGGGGTAATCCCCTCTGCCACAAAATGACCTTTCTGAGTACTTCTAATGTTGATCCAAGTTGGTACACACACACACACACGATACACACATCTTCGAATCCACCCATCTACTTCCCTTCAATGCCACTCCTCCAATCCAAGCCACCACTCTTTTCTAAACTATTGCCATAGCTTCCTAAATTGCAGACACTAACATCTGTTAATTCTTGGTTGGTTCACCAAGAAATAATACAAAAGTGAAGCCCACTAATGTAAGTCAAGAACACATAAACATATCTTACAAAATACAAGTATTTTTAGAAAAACATCTCCTTTAAAGGAGTACCCAATTTGAAGAAAACCTCCAATATAAAAGAAAAACAAAACAAAAATACTAAGAAGAAAGTTAACGTAGGAAGTAGAAAACCAAAAATCTCACAAATCTATAGTTGGATCTAGTTCCAGCAGGGCACTAGAGGCCCCCTAAAGTCAAACCCTCCCACTGACAGCAACTATAAACGTGGGACAACATACAAAGCAACCCAACTGAGCACTCTGAACACTAAAGATGGATGTAGAGGGAAGGTAAAACTTGATGAAGCAACCTGCAGAAAATACCAGCAGCTCACCACCCCTGCTTTTATTTCTTTTTGCAGCTTTGCTCTGAGGAAGAACCACAGTTGTGGAAAAGCACTGTGGCTTGGGTTACTAAAACCCCAACAGAAACCTTATTATTTCTAGCCAAGAGAAGCATGAAATACAGCCCAACCAGCCAGAAAGTAGAGAAACATCACTAACTCTGGAACATGTAGGTGTAAGACTGACCCAAAATAGATTAGTAAAGGCCTAAAAAATTAATATATTTGAACCACTGCACACATAGTGTGAAGCAGTACTTAAAATCTAAAGCTGAGATGATGGCTCCTAAAACAAAACATTTCTGTTCTCCAGAGGACCACAGCAAAGGGTCCTCAGAAGATCCACAATAAAATCCAAAATATTTTAAATAAAAAAATACTAGAAAATATAAAACATTCTCCAGGAAAAAGGCGATCAAGGGATGCCAATTCCAAGATGACTCAGATTATAGTTACCATGCAAACATTTCAAACCAACTATTATAATTATGTTCCCGGAAGTAAAACAAAATTACACTGAAATCAATGAAATGACAGAATATGAGCAGATAAACAGAAAACAAAACAACAACAAAATTTTTGAGTGAATTTTACCTCCAAGTATCTTTTCTTAGGAACCTATCTAGAAAACATGTCACAATGAAATAAAAGAATAAACCAAAATCAGGTAAGACTTATAATTCAAGAAATAGAGGATCCAACATAGCACGATGTTACAGAAAGAAGTCCCTGTATGATATCTCTGTACCAGACCTAGAAAACAAACAGTACAAATGGAAACAGAAGGAAGAAGGGCTCTAGGAAGAATACCTTCAAAGAACAAAATAATGAATAATTATCTGATACAAAGAATATAGCTGAAGAGCAAATTCTGAAAAACTACCACTGGGTATGCAGAGAACTAACTCAGATACAGAGAAAAATAAAGAAATAAAAATTAGGCAACTCCACTAAAAATATTACAAAGTTCCACAAAATATACCACCTAACTCAGTAGTGAACAATATTTTCATGTCATAAAATGTAAACACTATCACTGATTTAAAAATTAGGTGTCTTTCATGCATTTAGTCCTCACAATATTCTTACGAAGTAGGTCCTGTATTTGTACTGCCCTTACTTTGTAGATGAGGAACCTATGGCAGTGAGAGGTTAAGTAACTGGTCCAAAGTTACAGTACTTACAGTGAGGAGCCAAGATTTGAATGCTAGAGGTGAGACTACAAAATCATGATCTGGGAGGGGAAAGCAGGACATCTAAGAAAATAGAGTTGATCCTTTAACAACATTGGTTTGAATTGTGTGGCTCCACTTAACACATTTTTTTCAATACAGTACTGTAATTGTATTTTCATTATACTTTTCTTGGGTTTTTGTTTTGTTTTGTTTTGTTTTGTTTTTGAGAGAGCAATGGGGGAAAGAAAGTATCTTAAGGAAGCTTCCACACCCAACATGGAGCCCCATGCAGGGCTCAATCTCACAACTCCCAACTGAGCGACCCAGGCACCCTGAGAAAAGAAAATCTTATTAAGAAAATTATAACAAGGGGCACCTGGGTGGCTTAGTCGGTTAAGCATCCGACTTTCGCTTAGGTCATGATCTCAGGGTTCGTGGGTTCAAGCCCCGCGTCGGGCTCTGTGCTGACTGCCAGCTCAGAGCCTGGAGCCTGTTTCAGAGTCTGTGACTCCCTCTCTCTCTGACCCTCCCCTGCTCACGCTGTCTCTCTCTCTCTTAGAAATAAATAAAACATTAAAAAAATTTTTTTAAATAAAAAAAAAAGAAAATTATAAAGAGGGGTGCCTGGGTGGCTCATCAAACCCTATGTTGGATTATGCACAGAGTGTGGAGCCTGCATAGGATTCTCTCTGTCTCTGTCTCTCTCTCTCCCCTCCCCCAGCTCTCTCTCCTTTCCATTTGTGCACTTTCTAATAAAAATAAATTAATTTTAAAAAAGATTTTCTTTTCTCTAGCACACTTTAAGAATACAGCATATAAAACATATAATATCAAGACAAGTTACACCTGGATTTTTGACTGATGGGGGCGTGCAGCACCCCTCACCCTCACATTGTCCAAAGATCAAATGTAGAATTAATAAATCAATAAGTAAATGAATATACACATATGCTAAAAATACAGAGTTAGAGCTTTCCCCCTGAGATCAGGAACACGACAGGGATGTCCACTCTAACCACTGCTGTTTAACATAGTGTTGGAGTTCCCAGCATCAGCAATCAGACAACAAAACAGAATAAAAGGCATCAAAATTGGGAAAGATGAAGTCAACTTTCACTTTTCAGACAACATGACACTCTACATGGAAAACCCAACAAACTCCACCAAAAATCTGCTAGAACTGATACATGAATTCAGCAAAGTCGCAGGGTACAAAATCAATGTACAGAAATCGGTGGCATTTTTATACACCAATAATGAAGCAAGAGAAAGAGAAATACAGAAACTGATCCCATTCACAACTGCACCAAGAGCCATAAAATACCTAGGAATAAACCTAACCAAAGGTATAAAAGTTCTGTATGATGAAAACTATAGAAAACTTATGAAGGAAATTGAAGAAGACACAAAGAAATGGAAAAACATTCCACAGTCATCAAATGGAAGAATATAAATATTGTTAAAATGTCAACACCACCCAAAGCAATCTACACATTCAATGCAATCCCAATCAAAATTGCACCAGCATTCTTCTCAAAGCTACAACAAATAATCATAAAATTTGTATGGAACCACAAAAGGCCCCAAATAACCAAAATAATATTGAAGAAGAAAACCAAAACGAGAGGCATCACCATCCCAGACTTTAGCCTCTACTACAAAGCTGTCATCATCAAGACAGTAATGTATTGGCACAAAAACAGACACATAGACCAGTGGAATAGAATAGAGAACTCAAAATTGGACCCACAAATGTATGGCCAACTAATCTTTGACAAAGCAGGAAAGAGTATCCAATGGAAAAAAAGACAGCCTCTTTAACAAATGGTGCTGGGAGAACTGGACAGCAACATTCAGAAGAATGAAACCAGAACGCTTTCTTACACCATACACAAAAATAAACTCAAAATGGATAAAGGACCTGAATGTGAGACAGGAAACCATCAAAACCCTAGAGGAGAAAGCAAGAAACAACCTCTTTGACCTCAACCGCAGCAATTTCTTACTCTACACATCTCCAAAGGCAAGGGAATCAAAAGTGAAATGAACTATTGAGACTTCATCAAGATAAAAAGCTTCTGCTCTGCAAAGGAAACAATCAAGAAAACTAAAAGGCAACCAATGGAATGGAAAAACAAATAGATGCAAATGACATATCAGATAAAGGGCCAGTATCCAAAATCTATAAAGAGCTCACCAAACGCCACACCCAAAAAACATAAATAGACACTTTTCCAAAGAGGACATCCAGATGGCCAACAAACATGTGAAACAATGCTCAATGTCACTCATCATCAGGGAAATACAAATCAACACCACACTGAGATACCACCTCACACTGATCAGAGTGGCTAAAACGAACAAAGAAGAAGACTATAGATGCTGGCGAGGATGTGGAGAAATGGGCACACTCTTGCACTGTTGGTGGGAATGTAAACTGGTGCAGCCCCTCTGGAAAACAGTATGGAGGTTCCTC